GTCGCCATGTGGGATGTGCCGCGGGGTGCTGGGCGGCTGCGGGTTTTCACCGCACCTTGGCGGAGGTGCGGGAATCCTATGCGTGGAGGACGGGGTTTGTGGCACCCGGGAGCTATGGCAGACGATGGAGCGGCAGCATTCAGCAGCCGGACCTTGCCCCCACCACCCCAAAAGCTGGGAGCTGATGGGAGTGCGCCTCCCGGGATTGATTTTCCTCTTCTGTGCTTAGTTTAGACTGTGGTGACTCAAGACTGGACAATTTTTTGCTTAGGATGTAGCCGGTGCCTTTAAACTACTCTGAAGAGTATCGAAAAGTAATCTTAAAGGTATTGCCGAAACTATTCGGGAAAGATCAGAGGCTGGCTCCACCTTGCAGCCCATGGTGCAGTTGCAGTCGTGTAAGCTGTGATCCCCCCAAACTCTGAAGCCTAAGATTCACCTTGTTTTCTGTCTGTATGCTTGTAAGTCTTGCTGCCTACTTGAAGAAGGTTAAAAAAAAAGAAAGCTAAAAATTTTTCAGGGCTCTTAAAGCTTGATTTAGAAAAGTACACTAAGCACGTATACACCACACAGTATAATATTAAGAACCTTGAATAGTTGCTCCAATCCATTCCTTTCTTCTGGAGACAATAATTTTTTTCCAGGAGAATCCAGGACATGCACATGACGTCAAATATTGTTTCTATTGCATGGGTATTGATCGTAACTGGAAACAGAGGTAGTACAAAGGGTTGTAGGGGAGAGTTGTAAAACATCTTTGATTTACAGCCACTGCACTGTTCTCATTGCTCTTCATTAACCTTTCATATCCATCCAGTTAGGTTATCCAAGCCAGCAGGTTCTCATGTCAGCGAGTAATGTGACTTTAAGACCTAATAGACATCTTCTTCATCATAATACACTGATAGCAGGTGCTTCCCAGAAAAAGTAAGATTGTTTTAACAGAGCTTTTGTACAACGAATGTCTCGAATTAGCTTAATGTTAGGCTGTCAGTAAGGTCAGTTGGGGATGACACTTGTCTGCTAACTGCTGTCAGTTCAGACACCTAGCAGGAAGTTCTCAAGCTGGCTGAAATTCTTCACGAGAGATTGGTGTATGTTGTCAGTCAGTGTGCAGTAAAGATGACAACAGTTTGCTGGTGGACGTTGAGCAGTAAGGCTACAAATACCTAGCAGTCATCAAAAACATGTTGAAGGAGAGGAAAGGAAGATCAGAGAACGAAATACTAAAATTGAAAATCTACCCTAAGGAGCACTATAAATGAAGCCACTGGGAGTGAGCTGGGTGTTTGTCTGCTTTGTTCCCAGAGCTTGATGTGGCAGCAGTTTGCAGAGTGGGTGGGCATTTCCAGTGCCAGAAGAAAGAAACCATGGAAGAGCCTTGTCCTCAGACTGACTTTGGTTACTTCCAAATCTGTGGCAGGTTTCTCTAAACGGAGATGCTGGAAGTACTCAGTAGTCAATCTGTTCCTGCGGATAGGCCGTATGCAGAATTGCCCTGTATGAAACCAGAAACCTGTGAGTGCTGCGCTCTCTCCAAACTCTGCCTCTGGTGCAGGTGTCTTGATACATGTGCTGAAGCTGGCAGTTTGTTGCTGGCAAACAGGACCTTTGGCCTCGTGTTCAGTCCCTTCAGCAGCAGGGATTAGTGTGCATTACATCCAGGAGGAAATTAACCCCAGAAGCCTTTCCAAAGTGAAATGCTGGAGGGCTTCTCTGTTCGAGCCAGTGAATAGCTGTTATGACTCTAAATCTAATAATCGGCTGCAGCATAGCTTCTGGTGGAAGTTTGGCTCAGCTTTCTCTGCTGACTGGCCATCATCCTTGTTTCCTTTGTACACTGCTGCTTTTAGAGGTGGCTGTAGTTCTGATTCATGGGGAACAAGGCCTGTTCTGGGGTGTTTACGTGGTCAGTTTGTGTTAAGATCAAGAGCACAGGCTGAGTGCTTTTAGCCTGACTGACTGAACCATTAAATTTGATCAGTGAGCGATGTAAAATAGTTACTGAGCACGTAAGCAACAGTGTTCCTGCTCAACACACTTGTAGAACAGTCACCCACAGAGCCTTGGTTGCTCTGCAGGCATATGTAACGGCTGTGTTTTAATTTGTATTTTGATACAACTCTCCTTTCCTCATCCGTTCCCAGTGTGGAAATAGGCGAGAGCGTACGCGGGGAGGATGTCTACATTGTGCAGAGCGGCTGTGGTGAAATCAATGACAATCTGATGGAGCTCCTTATCATGATAAATGCCTGTAAGATTGCCTCAGCCAGCAGAGTCACAGCTGTCATACCCTGCTTCCCTTACGCTCGGCAGGACAAAAAGGACAAGGTAAGGGATGTGATAAAGGTTTCTGCTGGGAGGATGAATGCACACCTTGAATGTCCTGACTGCTGGATAGGGATTAGATGAAGCTTGAAAATGAGATAAAACTTATTTAAAATGTCTTTAAAGCTCAGGGCATTTGACTGCAAATTCATCTTCTTATAAAGATCTAGTTCTGCTTGAAAATACAGCAGGCTGTAATCACCAGCTGATGAAAAGATGCAATGTTAATGAGTACTCCTTTTAGTAACTGCTTGTGAATCATTGCCTAGAAGTGGAAGACTGACATCTCACTGAAGGCACTGAACTTGTCTTAAATACTGGGTTGTTTTTTTTCTCTACTAGAGTCGTGCTCCAATCTCTGCCAAGCTGGTTGCAAACATGCTGTCTGTGGCAGGTGCTGATCACATAATCACCATGGACCTGCATGCATCTCAGATTCAGGTAGGAGCTGAAATCAGGGAAGTACTTGCCTGCTCCAGTCTGAGCCTCTTTGCTGCCTTGCAGGCTTTCCAGTGATCTGCTGGTTTTAGACACAGCAGTGATCAGGACGTGAGAATGTGGAGCGGGAAGGGGCTTGTAGAGTCAGTCAGAAGAGGATGGGAGATGGGTAACAGGTTCATTTATAAATGAAATTGTAGCTGTTCTTGATCAGACTGATGGTGATGAGTCCTGTGTAAATGCATGTTGGGCTGGTAAATGATCTGTACAACTTAAATGCCACCCAGTGATGCTGTGTATTCTTAACTGGTCCTTTGAGGAATTTGAGATGGAGCTTTATGAAGAGCGTTCTTAAATATTGAGTAGGGCTTTCTGATATTTACTGAATTGTCAAGGAGAAGTGAGCAGTGCTGTTTGACACAGTGGCTGGTAATGCTGCTGCCTGGAGGTTAGCTCTTCCTCTGGGTGTGCTGATACAGCTGCTTGTTCAGTTGACCAGGACAGTGATCTGATTGCTTGCTGCTGACAGGATGGGCAGCATCTGTATCCATTCAGTGCCTTCCACTTAAGTTGGCTTTAGTTCTCTCCCAGGCTGCTGGTGAATTAAAAGTTATTCACGGGTTTTGATGGCTTCGTGACTGGAGTAGTCTCACAGCACTTGGAATCTTGACCAGAGCTGTGTGAGAGAAGTGGCAAAAGTGTGCACCAGGGAGAGGAGCGATAGGTAGCTGTTAAATTATCAGTCATGTCTCTCTCCACCTTGAGCAAGTGCTCTGAGACCAAGAAACCAACTTGATGCAACTAAGAAGCATGTGGCAGAGAGGAGGATATCTGTTGTATTGCTGCATACACTTTGAATCCAGAAGGGCGTGATATCTACTGCCTGGTGAAGTGGGTGGGCTGGCTGTCATTTTAACAGCTGAAAAAGCAGCCATACACAGTTCAGTATAATTTCTTCCATAATTTGCTCATAAATACTTGTCTTGGATGGGAAGAAAAAATATACTGGGGGTACAGCTGAGAAGACTTTCAGAAAGATGAAATAAAAGAACAGAGCCTGAGGAGGGGTGCCTCTTTAGAGGCTTGGAGTTGATGTGTGCAATAGGGCTGACCTTTCACCAGCAGCAGTGGTGAGATCCAATTGAATAACTGAGTTTGTGTATATAAGCTTCCAGCATCTGGCTGGTTTCAGCCTGGTTCTTGTAGTTGCTGGGTTGCTGAGCACAGAAGGAATGGTGGTAGGGAGGATCTGTTAACCCTGTACCTTGAAGCATTTGTCTTCCCCCACTCTCCTGCCTGTTACTCTCTGTCCAGGATTAACTTCTGGCGTTCAGTGACCTTTGAGTTTTACCTGGAGGAGTCCGCTAAGTCAGTGTAAAGTTGTGGAACCAGCTCCATTAGTGTAAAAGCAAATGTTACCCAAGCCTTTTCTGTAGATTTGCTGTAGATGCAAACCGTGTAGGTAATGAGCTTTGAAGACTGACTTTGTAAACAGGCAGCTCTCTGCCCTGTGTTTGCTGGTCTGCACCCCCTCATGATAGAACTAGTTCCATGTTGTGAAGGTGTCAGATGTAAAGTGTTATTTCTGCTGCTAAATTATTTCTGACTCCGAAGACTTCTTACATTACTGTTCTGTGTATGCCAAGGGTTACTGCCCTTGCATTAAGGGAAGTGGAAAGGAAAGCTGTGGAAAGGCAGTAGCTGCATGTCTGATCATATAAAAGGCTTCTTCCAACTATTTTTGGAATGTGACCTTCAGCTACATCTGTTCCTGTCTTCTTCCATGCAGGGCTTTTTTGATATCCCTGTTGATAACTTGTACGCTGAGCCTGCTGTACTGAAGTGGATCAAAGAGAACATCGCGGAGTGGAAGAACTGCACCATTGTTTCGCCAGATGCTGGTGGAGCCAAGAGGTGAGCCATCGGGCAGCCAGAGGTGCTGTTTTGATGTGTACTTGATTTCCTGACAGTGCTTGTGCTTGAGAGGTGCTCCCTCTGCCAGCCTGCCTTCTGCAAGGCAGTCTGTGGCAGCTGGTGG